TGAGCTACATAGTAAGACCCTGTCTAAACAGATAAACTGCTTCAAAGGCTTTCCAAACCGCCTGGCAGGGTTGAGGCCAGGACATGAAGTAACCCGCCCAGGGCTGCCCATCTGGAGAAACCGAGTCGGGATTTGACCCCTTGCAGCTGGGCCTCTCTGGCCCCGTAGCTGGGATCCGTTCCTGTTGTGTGCACTGCTGTGAGCACCTTGGCATGGCTAACCCAGCCCTTCTGCCCCCAGGAGAGGCAGGACAAGGTGGTGCTGCAGTCGGAGGTGGCCAGCCTGCGGCAGAACAACCAGCGATTGCAAGAGGAGTCGCAGGCCGCCAGCGAGCAGCTCCGCAAGTTCGCCGAGCTCTTCAGCCGGGAGAAGAAAGAACTCTGAGGGCCCTGGGCCTCCCCTGGCTGGCAGGCAGTGGGCTTCTGGTCATCCAGCCACAGCCCCGCACCCACGGCTCCGCCCCGCCACTCAGGAGCCCCAGGCGCCATGAGCCAGCTTGGCTGGCCTCAGGCCCTTCTCATCTGCTCCCTGCGGCCCCCAGCAGGCCCCCAGGAGCCTGTTCCTAGGACCCAGCTGCCCGGAGCTGTGACGGCGGGAGGGCCCAGGAGCCCCTGCATGAGAACTGGAACAGAATGGGCCCTTTCGTCCCCCACTCCCTGATGGTCCAGGGCTCCTCTGTCCTTCCCCAGTGCGCTGGCTCCAGACAGCATGGACATCACCCTGAGTCCCCCTTCCATACAGAAACCAGGAGCACTTTCATAGAGTTTAAATTATTTTCCTGGGGCCCCAGAATGGACAGGAACCCCTCGCATCCAGACCCACTCCTTTGAGAAACCCTGTTTGTACAGTGAAGACTGTTTCTACGACCTTTTTCTACCAGCTCCTCTCCAGCAGCCACGGGCTCCTCTGATCCGGCTACTGATGCGGCCGCCGTGGGCTCCTCCCCAGCACAGCTAGGCATTGCCTCCCGCCCCAGAGGCAGCACGGAGCCCCAGGGCAGGGCTGAAGCGCAGCCTTCACCTGTCTGGCCCTCTCCTCTTTTTCAAGTCTCCCTGGCCACACTCCAGCCCCAGCGGCCACCAGACACACTCACTGTGCTCCCCGGGGAGCACTCAGTGCAACCCCCAGAGACGCTGACTCTCCAAAGGCAATAAGGGGCAGCTCAGTCTGGGTCTCTGCTGCTCACCCAGGAAACACAAATTCCCCTTTCTTTCTTCTTTAAAAACAAACAGAAAAGAATATATATATATATTTATTTTTTCATGTAGAGTTGTGCCAGAACAAGTTTGAATGGCCACGATCTGTGGATTCCCCAACCCCAGGGTCAAGACATGTCCCCACGGACTGGGGGTCAGTGTGAGAACCCAGAGGGACGTGGGGCTGGCAGGCAGGGAGAAGTTGGCAGCATGGACTGGACCCAGAGCTAGATGGCCCAGCCCTCAGCCCGGGACCCTTCACCTCTTTGGGCCCATGACCTCTCAGAAAGGGCTCTGAGACCACACACAACAGGCACTCCACTCCAGACGTGCCAGGCTGGAGGGCAGACGGGTACCCACAGCTCCCTATGACCCGCCTCTGGCCCTGGGAACCCTGGGTTATGAGGGAGCAGCCTGTCATGTCCTTCACCCACCGTGGGGTGATGGCGGCAGACCAGACTACCCAGTGTCCTCAGCCCTGGCCAACTACTGTGATGTCCCTCCTCTCCTGATCCCCTCCTAAAGGGTTCTCCAGCCCTGCTCCTCTCCCTTCCCTCAGACCCCGACCTGGAGCCTGCCCTCCCCCCCCTCCCTTCCTTCCTTCATCTGCCTCTTTAGTGTGTCTCCTCGCATCTTCAGATCATTCAAATCATTTTGGGGACCTAATCATGTACATTGACAATTGTAAATTATAATTTTTGGTTTTGTTCTATTATTTTTGTAAGAATTTCTGCAAAAAAAAAATAACTATTTAATTGAGGTTGATGTTCTGTCTGATGGCTGGAGATAGCAGCAGGCTTTTTTTCCCCACGTTGATTTGTTCCATTTGGATTTCTTATCATTCTTTATTGTCTCCCCCCACCCCAAGCCCATCCCTGTCTTGAGATTTCTGGCATGTTTCAGGAGGTTTCAAAGGAAATAAACGTTTCATAGAAATGGCTGGTGTGCTCACAGGGAGCTGCCTGGAAATCATGCGGGCTCCCTCCTAATACACATCACACCCTGCTGCACAGATACACTGGCCAGCCTTACAGCTTTTCTTCAGCATCCAGACATCTGACCCTCGGGATGTAGGATTGTGCTGGTTAGAGAAAGAAAGAGAAAGAGAGAGAGAGAGAGAGAGAGAGAGAGAGAGAGAGA